AGAACAAGAACCAATGGGCTGAAATTAAATATATATATATTAGGAGCCACTTTACAAATGTTTTTATTTATTTATTTGTAAAATGTATTTTGACACAACTCTGGTTATTCTGTTTCTAGATAGGAAAACATGCTTCTATTTCCAGTCTTTAACAGATAGATAACTCAGAAGAACACACAGGTTTATTGCTTTTATTCTGGGGATCCTAGACAAACTTACAGTTTGCAGAGGTGCATCCAAGAATAGGTGGTAGCAATCTGGTTGTTCCACAGGTAAATTGATATTAGATTTTCCCCTCTTCTCCCAAGCGTCACATGGTGGGGTCCACAGCCGTGAGGCTGCATGTGGTGGTCAGAGAACAAAGGACTGCCCTTAGGCTAGTGTCCAGGGATGCCTTTGAAGCTCCGCCCCCTGACCCTTGCTCCCTCCCCTTGCCCTGTTACATAGGTATACATAGAGTTATACAAGATACATGGATCTATGATCCAGAACACTCCCCGCTTGGAAATTAATATTTCCACTACTTACTAACTGAATATGAAAAAAGAATAGAAAAAAAATATAGCATTAAGTATACAGTACTCAATGTTGACTAACTTGTGACTACATAGGTAAAAAACCTGGTATCAAAACATGCATAACTATTGGTAAATATAAAGCATGCACAATTATGCAGAAAATAAGCAAGTGTTACATCAAACAATGCATAAACACAATACATCATTTGAGGTTTCATCTTCTGGTTCAGTCTTCATCAGCTACGGTGCCAAAACGGATATCAGCCTGGTACAAGTGTCTTTGAGTCACGACCTGACTCACGTGGCTTCATGATCTGAAAGTCAGCTTGGCAAAGTAGTTCATCAGCTGGGTGGGCCCGGTGTGCAAGTCCCTTGGGCCAATAGTTCTGGTATGCGTTCTTGTCTCTAAGTGAGACAGGGTCTTCTTCCTGTAAAGGAAACTGGAACCAAATCTGGAACAGAAAAACTGGAACCCAAGCTTCTCAGGAACAAAGGGAACTGGATTCACAGGATACTCAGGAACTGAAGAACCTGGAAAAACAGGGACAGCTGGATCTGGAAACACAGGAACAGCTGGGTCTGGAAACACAGGAACAGCCGGATCTGGAAACATAGGAACAGCTGGATACTCAGGAACGGCTGGAATTGCAGGATAAGGAACAACAGCTGGAACTGAAGAATCGGGAACAACAGCAGCTGGAACTGAAGCATCAGGAACAACAGCTGGAACTGAAGCATCAGGAACAACAGCTGGAACTGAAGGATCAGGAACAACAGCTGGAACTGAAGGATCAGGAACAACAGCAACTGCAGAAGACTCAGGATACTCAGGAACCGAGGTATCTGGAACCACCGATGGAGCATTGAGGATGGCTGCTACTGTTGTCATCAGGGTAGTGAGGACTTCATGTGTGGGTGGGTGTGTCTTTAACGACATAGAGTCCATGATTTCACGGGGTGCACCAATCATGTGCTCCCACACTTCGCCTATGCGTGCTTTGGCCGTCAGGCATTTGTCAATCACTGGGTCATGGCGAATGTCTTCAATAGTCTTTAAGTCCTTGCAGACTCCTATAAAGTTCATTCTTGGGATGCTAAGACAAGTGATCAAGATGATCAGAACTATGCCTAATCTCAGGTGCTTCCACTTAGTCAGGGGTTTGTAGCGGATTGGTTGACGTTCACTGGGTGCCTGAAGTTGAAGGTTGGCGCGTTGATCCGTTTGTCTATTTGAACAGACCAAGAACTCAGGACTTTCTAGCCAGGTCAATTCTGTTAACTGTGTGGTAAGGTTGGGCCACTTCACTTGGTTGTTGCCTGTTGGCACATGTTGCCATTGTTCAGGACTCAAAGATGTTTCAACACTCTTCATTCTATTTCCTACATAAACGTAGAAATGTCTGCTTTGTTTGTAGATGTAGCTTGACATCTCCTTGCTGTCTGCATAGAAGGTGGTAGACTGTAGTTCAAGGCGCAATGTCTTCGCTGTCAAGTTGGTGAGCTTTACAGCCAACGTGGTACCACATAGTACTAACCTTGGTACGGTGTGGCCTTCGTGTAGAGTTAGTCTCGCTTTTCCAAAGAAGACACCGAGACTGCAGCTCTCCCCGCTGTAGACTCTGATGTATCTTATGGTTGCAAACAAAATGACGTAAGTGTGGCTCTCCCCGCTGTAGACTGTGACGCATCTGAAGGCTGCATTTGCCTTCGTTGACACATCTAAGGAAGCGTACAATTCTTTCTTCTGCACTGTGGCGGGTGAGCTGGAAACATACGTGCACTGCACTTGCATACTCTTGGGACATCTTGGAAGTAAATTCCATGACTCCTGGTCTTTCAGACGTTGTATGTCTTGTTTGTCCTCTATGGACAAGGCTAAGTTGATGTGATTCTGACTGGTCTGGAACACTGTTGCTTCCAAAGCAGGTTTGGTTGTCACAAGCGCGCAGTGTTCTAGGTGTGGTTTTAGGTGAGGTGGTGTTCCATTACAGGGAATGGAGGTGTTTGATATGCTCACCTGGGTTGGGATTTGCGTTTGGTCAACACAAACTGTCCCTCCTATGGCCCACCCGAGTTCCGTCGGGTTCCGTGGGGCTGCAACGGTGGAAAGATCTTGTTCCGCTCCCCGCTGTATAGCCGTTGCTGTTGCTGGTGGACCCCTCCGGTTGCCATCAAAGGTATGGTTCGGCGGGTTCAATGAGGGAGCAACGATGGGAAGATCTCGTGGCCTAGTTGTCATGACATCAACCCCATGGCTGACTGGCACATCTGGCTGCTGAGATTCTTCTGTTCATCTACTCAGTCTTGGGGGGCTTGTGGCTGGCTGTGGTCTCACCTGTTCATGTTGGAACGCGCTTTGGTTATCCATATAGGCCTGTACTCTGCTATGTCGTTCTTCGGTCTCCAGTTGTTCCCTATGAGACAAGAAGGTGGGCTCCTGGAGTGTTCTCCGAAGGCCTTGTGCCCTGGCCACTTTGTCCGCCACGTCTCGTTGGCTTCTTATGAACTCAAGCTCGTCTTGAGTGGCCTTCATTTTGGCCTTCCTTATATCTACTTCGGCTTCTGCTTCAGCTTCTGCTTCAGCTTCTCTTTTAGCTGCTTCCGCTTCTGCATCAGCCTTCCTTTTAGCTGCTTCTGCTTCTGCATCAGCCTTCCTTCTAGCTGCTTCCGCTTCTGCATGAGCCTTCCTTTTAGCTGCTTCCGCCTCTCTTTTGACCACTTCCGCGTCTGCATCAGCCTTTCTTTTAGCTGCGTCGGCCTTTCTTATGGCTTTCATTCGAGCGTCTTCTATTTCCATCGCCTGCAATTCCTTCTTCTTCAGCTGCTCTGCTTGTGCCACGCGAAAAACAGCTTCAGCAGCGTTAGCATCTCTGATGGCTTGCTCGTCTTGTGAAATTTGGGAAGTTCGGCTGTGGCGAGAAGATGCTTTCGAATTGCGGGAGGCACCTGTGAGGTGAGATTGTTGAGACACGCTGGAGTGTGCCTTGGATATGTGGCAAAAGGATGATGCCCTTCCAGACGCGTGGGATGGAGCCACGTGCGACCGATGGGACGGTGCGTGTGAATGGCGGGAAACTTCAGACTCTGCCCTGTCAACCGGTCTGTCTCTCGGGCGAGGCTCGCATTCTGGAGGGCGTTGTGGGCTCTCTAGAAGCTTCTTGCGTTCCTTGTTCCGTAACCGAAGACTTTGCATGTCGCGGTCGACGTCTGAGTCTCTTAATTGCTGCTGAATGTCCTTGAGTTGCCGTTCGGAGTCCATCCATTGTGTGAAGGCGTCCTCCTTATCTTCTTCCAGTGCGTGAGCACGTTCGGGGGAGAGATCCTCCTTTTGCTCTAGGTAGAGTTTGTGCCATTTCACCCAGCCTCTTTCATGGCGCTTGTGCACAGTGTGCCATTTCTCCAACAGGTTTGCATGCATGGCTTCAGTTGGCTTTCTTTGTTGTCTCAGATCATAGTGACTCTGAGACGTCTTTGGTCTTACTGAGGCATGAGCTTCAGCTTCTGTGTACAGGTCAAGGGAGGCTGTTTGCGGCGCTTCTCCTTGGCCATCTGGTTGGGGTGTCTCAACTAGGCTGGTTGGTTGAACCACTTCCTCTAAATCAGCAGGACGCTCTGCCATGGTTAGGATAGGTTCAGCGTTGTTCTCAGCTATTTTGAAGAAAATTTGAAGAACTTCTGTCTTTGACCACTAGGGGTCGCTACTGTGTGTGGGTGGAGGTGGCTGGGAGCGTTCTCCTGTGGTTCCTAGCTATTTAGAAGCAAATTGGATGAACTTCACTTTTCGACCACTAGGGGTCGCTATCTGCGTATCAGTTTCAGGGGTGCTGTCTGTAGGTGGAGGAGCCACTGGGAGCGTTGTCCTGTGGTTCCTAGCTAATTTGAAGGAAATTGGATGAACTTCACTTTTCGACCACTAGGGGTCGCTATCTGCGTATCAGCTTCCGGGGTGATCTTCTTTCGAGGTACACCCTTTGTCCACTAGAGGGCTTTCTCTGGGCGTGATTAAAGGCTCACGTGCAGCTCCTCCTTTAACCACTAGGGGATGTCTGAAGAGAGGTCAGCCAAATTCTTCCTATTACCACGTACCTGCAGGGCCACTGAGAGGCATGAGCTCCCACCTGGTCATTAAGTTGCAGGCTGGAACACACTGGGGTATTCAGCTTGTGATAATAGGCAAGGATTGATGGCTATGTTACCTTCTTCTGTCTCTCAAAACTGGAAGAAACTTGGGTCTCCAGCCTGATTGGGTGAAAACTCTAGTGGGGGTGTTATAGGCTTGATTTGAATTAAATTATCAAATTGTTGTGATGTGAAAAGAGAAGGAGACAAAAAATTTTTTTTTCAAGGTGTCATGTGCAGATAGGCCGCTAGGGGGCGCTGCTGCCCTGCTATTGGGCCTGGTTCTGCTTTTGCCTCTGTATTCTATTAACACCAGTTGAAATTCCAGGCATTCCTAAGGGAGGGGGGAGGTGTGGCTTTTCCGCCAGTATTGAGGCTTTATGGCAGAGAGAGAGAGCGGTTTAATGATTTAATTGTTTTCCTTAGTGACCAGGAATGTGCCTTGCTTCGTGCTGGGGCCAGAAACAAAGACAACAATTTTTCTAAGTTTAGCAAGTTGAATTCACGTGCTAACGAGGCTGGCTGGAATCAGTAACACGCCACTGGCTACTTCGCTTAACATGCAAGCTGAGTTGGGTTCACAGATGATCTTTGTAAGCCATCCCTTCATTGCCTCAGGACATTTAAGCTGCCGGCGAAGGGAGAGGGAAGGGGGGTTTCTATGGCAACTGCTTTGTTCCTTTAAAATGTGAAAGGCCACAGAAAGGCAGTTGGCTTGTAAAAAGATCCCAAGATTAGCACTTTACAACTTTGCCTTTTTTTGTTGTTGTTGTTAGTTGAGAGTCAAATGCGAAGATGCTTTGAATTTACTTTGCAGACATTTAGTGAGAGATAAGTTCCATCAAATTACTGTTGCTTTATAAAGTTGATAAAATGCAGATCACACCTTCTTTGAAACGCTGTCTGCTGAGCAGATACAGTGACATTTCTTTTGCAGGCAGTCAGTTTGAAACATAGAGTTACTTTCACATGCAAGGGGGACTTTTCTTTACTTCTTTAAAGTTTGAAGAACAGAGGAAATTTAATCTCATCAAATGGCTATTGCAGGAGCTCAGAGGAGAATAAATCTATCAATTTACTATTCTGTTTCTAGATAGGAAAACATGCTTCTATTTCCAGTCTTTAACAGATAGATAACTCAGAAGAACACACAGGTTTATTGCTTTTATTCTGGGGATCCTAGACAAACTTACAGTTTGCAGAGGTGCATCCAAGAATAGGTGGTAGCAATCTGGTTGTTCCACAGGTAAATTGATATTAGATTTTCCCCTCTTCTCCCAAGCGTCACATGGTGGGGTCCGCAGCCGTGAGGCTGCATGTGGTGGTCAGAGAACAAAGGACTGCCCTTAGGTTAGTGTCCAGGGATGCCTTTGAAGCTCCGCCCCCTGACCCTTGCTCCCTCCCCTTGCCCTGTTACATAGGTATACATAGAGTTATACAAGATACATGGATCTATGATCCAGAACACTGGGTGGCTTACAATATTAAATGTTGCACTTTTTCCTGTATGTGATCCCAGAAATTGTGTGATCCCAGAAACTGGGAGTCTTTGAATTAAGAAGACATGATGCAATTTGATGCAATAAGGTTATTGCATGTTTTTAATACCTCCTTAATACCTCCATAATTACTTGAATTCAAAAATAAAAAACCCAATGTAACTGAAAATAAATGTCAACTATCCAATTCATGACACTTTCTCCTAGCAACTTATACTTTAACTCTAACTTTAATGAATGATTTGATGATTAAGAAAAGATAGAGGTCTACAACCATCTAATGTTTTATACATTCGAGGGAACAGTCATCTTCTCTCCTGAAGCCAAGGATGTTGAAGAACCAATGGGCTGAAATGAAAAGAAACAGTAAGAGAAATATGTTTATGGTAATTACTGAAATCCGGTGTGGTCTATTGGTAAGGTGTTGAACCAGGAACAGAAAATACTAGGCTCTCCTCACTTAAGCATGAAAGTCAGACAATCAAGGACATTGTTAAAATTTATACACAGACACTTCAGCTTTGAAAATCTAGCTTCATTCCAGTATTTAGAAAGATGAGCCCTCCAACAAGCTGGCTGAAAAATTAAAAAACAAAAACAAATCTTGTTGTATAGCACTAGTACTAGCAATAGCACTTAGACTTATTGTATATACCAGTTCACAGTGCTTTACAACCCTGTCTAAATGGTTTACAGAGTCAGCATATTGCCCCCAATAATCTGAGTCTTCATTTTACTGATCTTGGAACAATGGAAGACTGAGTCAACCTTGAGCCAATGAGACTTGAACTGTTGGCAGCCAGCAAAATTAGCTTGAAAAACTGCATTCTAACCACTGTGGCACCAATATCTATATATCGAAAGGGACTTTCCAACAATAGATACTGCTCTTCAGATATTTTAAACCCAAATATTAATGACTCAAAATCATTGACAGAAGGTAGAATTGAGAGAACATTCATTTCTATTCCAAAATTATACCTAAATCTATCAAATTCCTACCTGGTTGTATATATCTTTATTCTTTGTTCTATAATCATAATATGCAAACTGGCCTGATTTAGCGATCTACAAAAGAAAAGAAGACAAAGTTTGGCTATGTATCCAGACCCTTTAACAAAATACAAGCTTGCATCTCCAAAAAGAAAACAATAACAGAATAATAGAGTTGGAAGGGACCTTGGAGGTCTCCAGTCCAACTGTCTGCTCAGGCATGAAAGTCTATACCATTTCAGACAAATGGTTGTCTAATCTCTTCTTAAAAACTCCAGTGTTATGGAAGTAATTCATCCATAATGCATTACTTTGTAAATAATGCAAATAATGCATCCATAACTTTCATATCAAGGACAATGGAAAAGATATACAAAGATATTTACAAATTGCAATCAATTTTCTTCAACAGTAGTGTTTCTTATTATCTACACTAGCAATGCATCCTTGACCTATGTCATCGTATACTTACAGGATCTTAAAACAAAGAATATTGAATTTTTATTGCCTCCCAATCTTACATCAGAACTCTTATGCTATAATAAATCACTATTTTTAGGTTTCAGAATTAAGATTAAATTTTGCCTTTTTATAGGGCAGTATGTTTTACTAGATTTAAATTGCAATTAGTGAAAGGTTACAAAGAAAGAGAGAGCTTTTTTATTTAATTTTACTTAATCATGTTATTTATATCTTTGTCAATGCAATGTGCAAAGGAGTGCTTATGTGTATCAGAAATTCAAACAGTACTGCTGGATCCAATGTGCCAATTGGTCTAGATCAGTTATGTCCTGGAAAGTCTCCAAGGAAACTATAGATATTCTGGAAGTGAAAAGCATATTCCTGCAACCATTCTTCATATGCTTTTGCCTTCAGTCCCCTAATCATCTTTGTTGCTCTTCTCGCCCCTCTTTTTAGAGCA